GGCTTTGTGGAAGATGGAGTTTATCAGGTTAACATTGTCTTTTATTCTTAGCACCACATGAGGAGACAGGTGTGTGTGTGTGTGTGTGTGTGTATTTGTGTGAGAGAGGCGTGGGGGGGAGTGTATGAGTGTGTGTTGGAGAGACTTGTGTGTCTGTATATGTGTAAAGATGAGAAAAGCATATGTGTGCGTGTGTTTGACAGAGCGTGTGTATGAGAGACAATTTGTGTGTATGCGTGTGTGAGATATGAATTCCAAGTGTGTCCTGATTCGTAGCAATCTGAATCATCTTGGTTTTGCCCATCTGTCTGGATAACCATGCAGTTTCTCCTCTTTATCCTCTTACATAGAGCATGAATAATAGCCACACGTTGACATGCCTCCCTTTTACGTCCAGGTTAAACCCAACACAGACATTGGGTGGTCTTGATTTTTCTCTGATACCCTGTCAGATGTGTTAGCGAAGATCTCTGTCTATATTCAGGTGTGCATTGACCCATGCATTTTGCTGCCCGAGTCTCCTCTGTCTGGGCATGCTGAGGTCTGAGTGGGTCCCCAGGGTGGCAGTGTTTGGAGATGGAGCAACTTGGGCAGGCTTTAGTCCCTTCAAGATTCGTCCCATGTGTGGTGTCCATGCTGTTGTCCAAAGGCATTTGTGACAAGTGGAAACATTCCATCCCTTCAGCCCAGAGTGCATCCATGGTGCCATCTTGGAAGTCAGAGGATGCTCTCCTGGTAGGCATCCAGCCTCCTGACATTTATCACCTGCTCAGGCTAGGGTCTTCTGTTTCACTGAATGGACTGAGACAGACTTCAAGAGTATTCTGTGCAGATGGAAGTGTTTTGCCATCTGTTTTCTGGAAGATTTCTCTCTATTCGCTTGATCTGTGATCTGAATGTTTTGGTAGAACTTGCCCATAACACAGTCAATGTCCTGGGAGGCAAAACTTGCTCCAGTTAATGTAATGATTTAAGGGCAATTCAGGCTGCTAGTGCTTCTGATTTTTGTAAAGCCAACTTATATTGTCATAAGTATTTTCTCAATTCAATTTTTTAAAAGATTTATTTAATTTTACTCAAAAGAATTACAGAGAGAAAGACAGGGAGAGAAAGATTTTCCATCTACTAGTTCACTTCCACAAATGACTGTAATAGCCAGAGGTGAACTGGTCCAAAATTGAGAGCCAAGAGCTTCTTTCAGGTCTCCCACATAGAAGCAGGTGTCCAAGGCCTTGGACCATCCTCCATTGATTTTCCAAGCCACGAACAGGGGACTGGATCAGAAGTGGAGGGGCCAGAGCTAGAACTGACAACCAAAGGAATGTTGGTACTGTAGGTAGAGAATTAGCATACCACACCACTGTGCTGGCCCTGCTCAATTCAATGTTAAATTTAGGGAACAAAGACTTTTACGGCTTTTTTTAAAAAAGCTAGCATCCTTTTAAATCCATAAATATGGTTCTTTTTCGTTTCTAGTACCAGGAGTTTTCTTTTCCTTTCTTTTTCTCCTCCTTGATTTTGCCAGGGGAAGATAACCTATTTGGAACTTTGTTAATTTTTGTTGTTGTTTTTGTTTGGTTGAGCATGTTTAATTTTGGGGGACACTGAGCTTTGAGCTTATCTTTATGATTTCTTCTTTTTCTCCTTTGCTTTACTTCTGACTTTGAAAGCCTAGCTAATGTACATCCAGCCATTTTTTTTTTTACTAATTATATACTTATGATTTTGTTATATTTAACAATCAAACATGTTCTAAAACACATTTCCAAAGGCTCAAAGCAAATAATCATCACTGACTTTGGATAACGTGCACAATTGGATGGGATTCATTTGAATGTTGGCATCTGGCAAAGTCACAACTTACAAAACCAGAACCATTTGGGACTCCTTGGCCATTGAATTGATGGGTGGGAAGGGGTTGATGCACTGGCTAGGGTGATGGGTCGCTCTCACCAAGCGGCCACTGTCAGAGGAGGCAGTGAAAATGCTGTGTGAAGCCATGGAACTGCACACAGACCTGCTGAGTACATCCTCACCCATCACCCTGCTTGGTCAGGGGTGGGGCAGTGAGGAAGCGGGTGAACATGAAACTAACTAGAGTTCAGATCTTCTAAGACCACCCCATCCAATAAAGACCTCTATTTGGGCATCCCACCCAATGAAGACCCCCTATTTGAGCACCATGTCAGCAGAAAGGAAACATGAAATGAACAATGGCGGAAAGCAGCATCATCCATCAGCCTTGGACCTGTGGCCGCTGTAGACCCATCCTTCATTCCATCACTGCCCAGGACTTTGTGTAAAGAACCCCAAGCTGCGCGCCCCTCCCCACCCGCCCCAACAGCTACTATCTAGAGTTTTGGACATGATCCACCATAATGTTGCAGCTCATGGGAATTTCTACCTTCTTTGTCTGAGAACATGGAACTGGCCCTTGGGTAGAGCACCAGAGTGGATAGCAAGAGGCTACATGGGTGGATTGTCTCAGATTCGCTTTGCCCATCCACAGGCAGGCTGCACAGTCTTGCTCTCTGCCTGGGGAACTCACCTACATGGCTTATGACAGCCCAACCCTATGAAGACTTCTGCTTCAGTGTGACAGTGGGGATCCTCCATCCTGGGAGGAGTAGAAGAAAGCGTGTTTATTCTCCTGGTCCTCTCCCAGCAGGGTTGCTTCTGCTGACCATGTCCATCCATGAAATTTCACTGCCTCTCATTCACTCTCTCCTTGCTGGTTTAAACATTCCCTCCTTGTCTCCTTTTGATCCCAGGAAGGTAACAGCTCAGTTATTCTGTCTCAGTTATTCTGTCTCATCCTGCTCATTGTTAATATCTGCATTAGGAAGCCTCAAATTATCCTAACCCTGAGTGATGAAATCCTTCTTAAATTATCTCAACCTGTGGATGCTGTCTTCTTCCTATTGGGTGTTCAATGCTGGATAAGGAACATAGCTGTCAAGTGCAACCAATGGTCTTTGTCGTGCCTTCTCCGCAGGTCACATCCCACGAACTCAGAGCCCTACCTGAGCAGATTCTTTTGAGGCCTAACTTGTCATCATGTTCTACTCCCACCATGCATTGCAAATCTTGGAAGCCATTGCCAGGAATGACCCTTATTGTCCCCTGAGTGTGTTTGTGTCTGTGGACACCAGGCCATCATCCTGATCATGGTCATCTATCAGTCTTAACTGTGCTTACCAGCAGCTTCCCCATCGTGCAAAGATTGGCTAACAGTTGAGTCATAGCTGTTCCCTTGATAGCAGCATCTCTAACTTGTCTGCTGATAAACGTTTTAAAAGGGCTAAAAGAATCCTTCCAAGCCATTCAGGGCAAGTGTGTTATGGAGTTCCCATCAAGCACTTGTGTGTCCCCTGGCAGCTGCGCCAGTGATTTTCTTCACACTGGACTCTTCCAGAAGCCATGGAGTTTTAAGGGAACAGTCTGCAAAAAGCCTTCACCCTCCTTGTAAACATCTTTGGGCATAACCTGTCAGGCACACATTCTGTTAGGAGAAGCCAATAAAGCTAAAACTGAGCTTTCCCCAAGGAGTTCAGGAAGCCAGTGTGTTTAGCTCCCCCCTCCACATCCCACTCCATCCCGCCAGGAATGATGCAGAAGACTGTATGAGTGGATACCCTTGGTGTACAATGCCAGTGAATCAGCTTGGTGCACCCATACTGTCTTTGTGTAGTAATGGACAGCATGTGAGGACATGCCTTGCCTTAATGATGTGTCGTTGTTGCCAGTGGTAACCTGCACACCAGGGGCAGTCAGCACACTGGGTATAGCCAACAAGGCACAACCAATGGGACCCTGCTCTGGCCTCTGTGTCCCCACTGTCCAGTGACCAATGTCAAGACCCAGACAGGATAATGTCTCAATGAAGTTGGGTGTGATCTTCAGCTACTTCCCCCCCTGGCAAAAGCTCCTTCATTGATGTTTTCTTGATTTAGTTATGCACGAAGTCGAAGCTCAACCCAAGAGATAGACTCAAAGTGAAACAGAAAAAGCAGAGGCAGGTGTGGCTTTGTCCAGCTGTTCAGGGCCAGGTCACAGAGTTTTGGGGTCAAGCTGGCACAGGTGTTGCTTGCCAATCCATGGCGATACCTCTCGCCTTTTGGTTAGATGTGGGCAGGACTGCCTGCACTTTAACCTCAGTGTTTGCAGATCTTGATATTTTCTGTGAGATTCTGGTGTGCATTGCATGGCCATGGGGTGAGCCTCCTTTTAAAAATCTCATCTGCCCATCTTGTTCATGTTGCATCAGTTCCAGACCCGGTTTCAGAACCTGAATCATCAATCAACGTGGGCTTGTTTATAACAATTCACTTATTAAATCAGTCTGCCTTTCCTTCCATCTGATCACCTCTTGAATTGGTTTCCTTTTTGACTCATTTTGATCTCAATATCAAAATTGGGTTTTAGACCTCATAATCGCCTTGAATAAATGGCTCCACCACCTTGGCCATCTTCCTTGGGTTATTTTCAGGAACCCTCAAGTGGTTGATGTCCGTTTGATGTTTTCCTGTTAGATGAGTGTTTCACTTGCTAGATCCCCACATCCCATTCTGGAGAGAGCACCTGGTAACTGTTGGTGCCTTAGGACAGGAGGATCTTTAGCTCAAGGGAGACACCACAATCCTTCACCACTCCCTATTCTCCCAGTGGGGTCCAAGTCTACCCCATCCTCCACTGAACTGGAGACAGTAGAAACCAGGAAGGTGCCAGACCACCCTGCACAGTGGAGGACTTGGCATTGGCATGACCCTGGAGGCTATGAGGGAGTGGACAGCTTGGTCAAAGCCAGTGACCGATCTTAGGAATGATGGGATGAGCAATGGAGGCAAAGGAGAGGTAAGCAGCAGGGACAAGGATGTCGCCAGGCTTCTCTAATCTCATGACAGGGCCAGGAAGTGGGTAACTGCTTTAGAGGCCCACACTCCAGCCACCTGCTGGACACAAGAGGCCCTGCTACTGTTTGTTAGTGGCACTTGACTCCCTTCATGAGGAATTGGTTTATTTAATGCAGAGGTCAGTGAGGGAGCTGAGCCTGAGCCCAAACCCAGGGCGTTCATCAGTCCAGGGCCAGGACATCTGTCCATCTTCCATGCTTTCCCCAGCCCTCATCCCCAACCAAGGACCAGGGGTGACTTTGCCGGGCATCTGGGCACTGACCACTCAGGGCATGGTGTTGTAGACTCCATAGTTGTCCTTCTGAGTAATGTGAAGCTTCCAGGGAAAGAGGCGCTTCTGGGAAGGGAGAGCTCTGGCCCGCCTCACCATGAGCCCTACGTCCTCGTCCGACAGCAGCCGCACCAGGTCCCCCTCAGCATCCCGGTAGTTCAGAGCGATGTCCTCCCTCTGGAACTCCCGCCTGGCAGTGGGGGGAGAGGGGAGGTTGAGGTTAATCCGAGGCCCCAGGAGAGAACTGGGGACTTAGGATTAATCTAAGACCCAGGAGAGAACCCAAAGACATTGGATCTAAGTGGAGAGCCAAGGAGGGATGAGGTCCTGAATTGGAGAACCAGAAATGTCAGTGTTTGGCAAAGTCATTTATTGTCCAATAGTCTCACATCCTCCAACTTCCTTTGTGCAAAAGGGGAACTGAAGACTAGCAGGAGAGAATGGCCTTGCACAGGAAAGCTGTGGCTCAGCCTGAAATGTGCATGTGGGGTACACTATAAGTTAAACACTGTGGGGACCCTGGGGTATCTGCCCTTGTGGTTAAGATGTCATTGAAGAGGTCTGCATCCCACATCGGCTCTCCCAAGTTCAAGTCCCAGCTCCACTCCTGAGTCCAGCTTCCTGCCAGTGAGCCCCCTAGGAGGCAGTAGGTGACAAGTTCAGGCACTTCGATCTCTGCCACCCACATGGGAGACCCAGACAGAGTTCCCAGTTCTTGGCTCCCCCCTGGCCCAGTCCTGGCTGCAGTCAGCACTTGGAGAATGAGCCAGTGGGTGTGAGCTTTTCCTCTCTATGTCTCTCAATTAGCTAAAATGCACAAATTGTTAAAAGCTTTAAAAGGGCTCTTGTGGTTAAGAAGAGTGGGTTTGGTTGGGGACAAAGTAAAGCTTTGTCTCCAGAAGGGACACCGTTGTAAAGCTAATGCGCGGACCTCGTAGGGACTGGGGCTGTCCAGTGTGGGGGCAGGAAGAGTGGCATCCTCTGCTCTCTCCTTGTCTCTCTCACACACATGCATATGCTCACAGCACACATTCACACACACTCAGTGTAACATACACCATGCACACACTCATTTACACATGACATACATACATTCACTCATACACTTTCACATATGTGTGTGCACACATGGACACATTCATGTACATGCATGCATCCACAACATACATGCACACGTTTGACACACACACATACTCACACATAGGCACACATTCCAACAATGCACACATGCCGCCTCTCATACACACTCACACACACTCACACACACTGTGGTCAGCAAGCTGAAGATGACTTCCCATCTTCCTGGCTTTCTGACGTCAGCCCTGACATTCTTTTGCCATCATGAGGAAGTCCCATAGGTCAAGCATCCCTCAACCAAAGTGCTTGGAATCAGCAGTACCACAGATTTCGGATTTTCAGTGATATGGGAATGTTTGTGTAGACATAATAAGCTACCTAAGGGCTGGGACCCAGGTCTAAACATAAGACCCATTCATGTTTCATACACACTGGCCATGGAGGGTTTTCAAAATGTTCCTGGAAAATGTACACAATGGAAAAAAAACATGTATGGACTTAAGAAAACGACATTTGCACCCAACTCAGAATGGTTTAAGCCCATTTTCCCATGCAGTGTCCCCAGGGTCCATAGACACATGGCTTGACTATCGTTGGATTCACTGGGCTCAGGGCATCTGGGTTTCCACTGAGACCCATCCCAGCAGGAGAAGTACGGACTTCTCCACATGTCTGTGTGTCAGGGGCTCATGGTGGCACTTAAAACTTCCCACCTGTAGGAGCCCCTTGGTTCCCGAGGTTCAGGTCTGGATGCTCATGCTGACTTTCACCGTCACAAACATGAATGAGGACGTGACCACTGTGCTTTAAAATGCCTGTGCAATCAGGACCTGGGGCTCGGGAGGTGGTAAGCGCCCTGATAGTGGCAGGGCCAAGTCCAGGAGCAACAGAATCTATTTTAGCTACAAAGCTATAGTCACAAACGAGATGACCTCAGCCACATCACTTCACCCCCCCAGCTCCCACCCTGGTTTATCTCCAGCATGGCGAGGTGACCCCCAGTCTCAGGACTGGGCTGTGGATACAATGACAGCAAGCAGGGAGCAAGCCCCCACCCCCCAGCCTGCTGGTTTGCTCCCTCTGTTCCTGTCCCCAGGGCAGGTCCTGCGTCCTCGTGTTTTTACCTCATAAGCTCCAGCAGGTCCTTGAACAGCGGGGTGCTGTTGAGGTCTTCTTCCACTGCGATGTCCCTGAGTGAGGAGCAAAAAGCTGGAAGGCAGGGCAGCGTGCAGGGTGATGGTGGGGCCTGGGGGTGAGGATGAACCCTGACAGCTTGTAACAGGACTGTGGCTTACCTAGTGGCCACTGCGAGCCACTGCAGGCTTTAGAGTGAGGGTGGACCTACGTGGGAATGTGGTACAGGGATGGCAGGGGATGGCAGGGGATGGTAAGGGAGGACGAGAAGGGTGGACAGGCCCCTCCCCAGTCCCGGCAGGCCACACACTTGATGATGGTGCTGACTGTGTCTTCGTAGTAGTAGCAGCGAAGCCAGTTGGTGGGGTCGTCCTCCTCCGGGAAGTCCTTGATGATCTTCACAAAGGAGAAGGGAAAGATGCCCGTGACTCCCCGGACGGTGCCCTGAGGAAGAACAGAGAGGGGCTTCCACCGAGCTCTGGGTCCTCCACAGGAGAGGAAGTGGGAGGCGCAGATGGGATACAGGTGCCCCAGTGGGCAGCAGAAACCACGAGGTCCAGTCTTGGGTGGGCAGTTTCACCTTGACAAGAACCTTGCTACACACCAAGGAAGATGCTTCAAAGCTTAGCTTACTTCCTGGGAGAAGTTGTGTGGGCCAGAACCAAGGGCAGGCTGGCCCAAGAGTCTTCTCTCCAGGGCCTGCATTCCTACAGTCACCTCCCACCACCTGTCTGAGCTCCGTAGGACCACCCTCTGTAGGATCACCCTCACATGGCCTCCCCCGACCCCTCCTCGGTTTCTGCCTCTGCCCGGCACTCCTGAAACAATCTCACCTTCATAACCACCCCTCCTCACCTCTACTTCACCTCTCCTCACCTCCAACGTCATCCTCCTCACCTCTATCTCACCCATCCTCACCTCCACCTCACCCATCCTCACCTCCAACACTAGCCCTCCTCACCTCCATCGTCATCCTCTCCTTACCTCCAATGTCACCCACCCCTCTTCACCGCAACCCCATCCCTCCTCACCTCAACCTCATCCCTCCTTACCTCAAACCTCATCCCTTCTCACCTCAAACCTCATCCCTCCTCACCTCCATCACCCCTCTTTACCTCCCAATCACCTCCAACTTCACTTCCATCTTCACCCCAACCTCAGCTTCATCTTCATCTACCACCTCACCTCGTCATCACCTCTGCCCTCACCTCCAGCCAGTCTTTGTTGATCCGACTGAGGAGAAAGATCACATCTCCGGTCTTGAATGTCAACTCCAGTTTGCTGTTGCCAGTGAAATCAAACAGGGCCTGGAGTGGGGAGAGTGCAGGGGAGGTGAGGGAGGAGGCAACCCTCGCAGAGCACCTAGGAGATGCTTTATGCCCTCTTGGTGTCCCATTTTCCAGAGGAGCCAATTGAGACTCAGAGTGACTGATCCAAAGCTACCCTACTATTAGTGAAGGAGCTGGTGTGGAATCCAGGTCTCCTGACATCCGGGAACCAGGGAAAGTGTATACAGGGTGAAGGGTTCCCTTCTTGGGACCAGATTCCTCCCCTAACCACCTGCAGGGCTCCCAGGCTGCCAGCCTCATGCCCCACCAGGGATCCCAGACCCCCAGCCGTGTATCCCACCAGGGCACTGCCCAGCCTGACGAAATCTAGTCTGAGTCGTGACTGATTGAGGTTTTGGTCCCTGAGGCCTGGCCAGCCCGGAGGAGGCCCGACCGCTTTCCGGGTGAGCAGGTTCATGGATGCATGGATCACACCCCTCCCCCAGCTGGGGCTCCCTGGAGTCAGAGGTCAAGACTGGCCCCACCCACCAGCACCACTCCCAGTGCCCAGCACCCCCAGGCACCTAGGGGTGTCTTGGCCCCAGAATGGGAGATGGGGTACCTCTGCTCGGGGAGCTTCTGTGCGGTTGAAGCCGGTACTTTGTGGGGACATGTTCTTGCTGTGGAGAAGTAAGAGGGATTGTGAGCTCCCCAATTCTTTCGTGGTCCAGCTCCCTACTTCTGTGCATTCAGCCAAGGCCTTTGGGAGGGGCAGAGAAGGCTATGCACAGGGAAGGATGTGAAGTGGCAGTCCTAGGACACACACAAAGCTCTCTCAGGAGCCCTGCTCATTCTCCCCTCACCAGGGAGCAGGCAGCGGAAGCCCCAAGAGCAGAGCTGGGAAGAACACAGGTGCCTCCAAGTGGGTTCTGTCCCTGCTCCCTACCACTCGCCTTTGGGGTGGGTGTCAGTGTTCTGACTTCTATGGAAGGGAAGCTGAGGCTGGGAGGGGTGAAAGGCCTGCTCCAGGGGCTGCAGCTGGCATGTGGCACAGCTGGTGATCAGACCCTGCCTGCAAGGGGACGTGGAGGACCCTGGGTTAGAAAAAGGTTTGTGGGGCTGTGGTGACTTGCAGGGAGGTGGGGGCTCAGGAACCTCTTGTCCTGTCACGTTGACCTTGACTTTGGCAACCCAGTGTGCCTTCAGGGCTTGAATTTGGGGACAATGATTTTGTGTTTAGGAAGGCGCTGCATGAGACTGGGAACTTCTGAGAGTAAGGAGGCAACAGGATCTCAAGGGATAGAGCTGCAAGTAGACAGTAAGAACCCCCAGCAGGGCCTCGGGAGCTTTTGGGAGCGACACCTTGTCCATGCAGTGCCTCTTCCTTCATTCTCGCTGGCTCCCACTCTCTCCAGCTCGTGGGCTGGCCCCTGTCGCTGCTATGACACCATCCCTCCTGGGTTAGTATCCCTGGCTCCATCCTCCAAGGTTTGGCCCCTCAGATCCGAAGCATCCACAGTATGCCCCTCGGGCCCTCGTCTTGGCTTCCCAAGCCCAGCTGCCTGGATGACCCAGGACTAGAACCAATCTGTCCGTGCCCTGCCCCTGTCCTGGTTGGCCTGCCAGGGCCCAGCTACTCACACTTTCCGGGTACGTGGGCGGAGCCGGCGGAGAGCCTGTGGCACCTGCTCGGAGTCGTAGGCTGATTGATAAAAGAAGATCCGGATGTCAGGGTCCATCAGCACCCACACGGGTAGGCTGAGGAGGTTCTGCGTGGTAAGGGGCAGAGCAGGGAGGCGTCATCAGGGGGAGGAGCTGCCTACCCAGCAGGGGGCCAGCCCCATCCACCTCCCACCCCGCAAGATGATCCCTCCTTTTTACTAATGCATCCATGCCTGGTGAAAGAAGCAAGTCATTCAATAGAAAAGCTGCTAGGGGCAAGTGCAGTAGCATCATGGCGGGTGAGGCTGCCATCTGAAATGCCAGCATCCCTTATGGGCACTGGTTCCAGTTCCAGCTGCTGCACTTCCGAGCCAGTCTACTGCTAATGTGCCTGGGAAAGTAGCGGAGGATGGTTCAAGTCCTTGGGCCCCTGCACCCACATGGGAGACCTAGAAGAAGGCCCTGGCTGCTGTCTTCCACCTGGCCCAACCTTGGTCATTGTGGCCATCTGGGGGTGACCCAGTACATGGAAGACTGACTGAATGAATGAATGGGAAGAAAGAGGTAGAGAGAGAGGAGGCCTCTCAGCAGCTGGCATCTTGCACGTTCCCAGCCCAGGTCACTATCACTAGGGGGGAACTCGGTGACAGGTACCCCAAGCTGGCAGTGGGCATGCCAGCATGGCACCAGGTGCCATGTGGGCAACCTCATTCCACGTCAAAATCACCTGCGAGTTAGGATCAAAGAGGTGAAGGCAGCTGCCCAGGGCCACACAGTTCAACAAGTGACAGAGCTGGGTCACCCTTAGCTGATGCTAACACAGCTGGAGTGCTAACATTCCTGAAGCACCCCAAAACAGCCTGTGGTCAAAAATTGTGCTTCTTCAGGGGAGACTGAGGCTCAGCAGGGACAGCTGTGTGGTCCATGAGGTGGAGGAAGGGAGTGGCAGACACACCATTGAGTCCCACACTCTTCCTGCCGCTCTGAGCTGTCACAGCCGAGAACCAAAGTCACAGGCGCAAGAACCAGAGCTGAGGTGGCTGGAGCTGCCCCATGAGCTCGGTGCCACCTAGGCCATGCCCAGGAAGGCAGCAGGCTGGGCTGGTCCAGGAGCCCTATCTTAGAAGGTCTCATCAAGCCACGGCTGTGTGCCTCCTCCAACAGGGGGGCACTCTCCACCTGCTGAGGGGCCCCAGGCCTCCCCGCTCCCTCGGGGAACCCTGGCCAGTGGCAGTCCTCTCCGAACAGCAGAGCCAACCTAGTGCCCAAGGCCATGCCCAGGGTGGCACCTGCCCCCCACCTGCCCTAGACCTTGGGCCCGCCTGTGGTCACTGGTACCTTCATGTAGGCGTTGAGAGCGGGGATGCGTGCCTCGGCAATCTCCTGCTTCACGCCCACGTAGACTTTGGCTGAGGAGAGGCCGGCGTGTCAGAAGCTGGGCACATCTGGTGTGGGGGCTGGGCTGCCCCTCCAGGCAGGGATCCTGGCTGCCTGGACACCACCCCACAGCCACCTGGTGTTCCCTGATCGGCACTGCTGCCAGTTGCTGTAGGTCTTGTTGGTCGCATTTGTTCCCTATTTTCACACACACATGCTGACACACACACTCACACAATCATACACATTCTCACGTACCCACACACATTCATGCACACTCATAATTCATATGCACTCATGCACGCACACTCACTTGCACTCACACTCGTGCACACTCCTACTCACACTTACACACAGAAATCCATGAACACTCACGCATTCATGCACTCACGCACATATACACACACTCACTTGCACTCTCACACACGCACACACATACACCCACACCAGAAACTCATACACTTACACTCACGTGCATGCATACATTCTTGCACACACAACACACATCTGCACATTCACACACTCACACATGCATATGCACACCCATTCACACTCACACTCACACACACGTTTTCGCTCTCACCTTCATGCACACACTCTGCAGATTCTGAGATCCCACAGGACAGGACCTTGTCTGGGCTCACAGCTGCGTCCCCGTCACCCAGGGCCATGGGTCATCCAGGGCTGCATGTTCAAGTCACAAACATGGCAAAGGACTCGCCACTAGAATAGTTCCATCAGCATCTCTGGGAGTGGGGTCAGGCAGGAGGACCCCTTAAGGCTCTTCAGCAACTTCTGATAAGCTGCCAAGACTGAGAGCCCAGAGCTAGAGATGCCTGGATAAGCATACAAGATAAATGAACAATCCTTTACTAAAAGTAGGTGATGGCCAGTGAGGGACGGACATCCAGTCCAGCAGCCTTCATCCAGGAGCCATCTCTCAGAGACCGCCCCCCGTCAGGGGACAAGCTTGAGGCCTGCCTGGTTCCCAATGCCCACAGGACAGATGGGGGCAGGGGTCAAGGCTGGTGATGGTTTGAGGGTAGCCAGGAAGCACCTGGGCTGGAGCTAGGCATGTGGGATTTTGTGGGAACAAGGCATGTAGATGGCATTAAAGTCACAGGAATAGTGGTAGTTTGCCCAAGTGGGAATCTGGAGGGAAAAGACGTGAGACAATGGTGACCTGGAGAATGGCAGAGGAGGCAAGCGCAGAAAGAGAAACAGTGGATGTGGCAGGAAGAGGACCAGAACCTGCAGTGGGGGCGCAGAAAGGGAGGGTGTGTGATGGAGGAAGGAACAGGCGAGGGAAGACAGCCTGATGTGCATGAGCTCAGTGGGAAGCCTGAGTGGGGGTCTCAGCCAGGGGCCAACAAGGAGCAGGGAGAGTTAAGACCAGCTGAGTGGCAAGCTCAGCTGAGAAGCCGAAGGAAGAGAGCAGGGATGGCTCAGAGCAGCGAGCCACCTCCTCCTGGCAGCCCAGGGAGCCATGAGGGTGGCCCCTGGAGGCCTCAGTTTACCTATGGAGCAGATGGGTGGGAACTAGATCGGTTCCCTGCAGACAGAGAGAGACAGAGAGAGAGAGGAAGAGGAAGAGCTGGAGGTGGAGGAGAGTAAGGTCCCCTGCGTACCTGCGTACCTGTCCCGCAGGGCGAGAAGGGTGCACGGTGGGCTGCCCCAGCATAGCACCCCTGTAGCAGCAGGCTGGGAGGTGGGCACTGGAGCTGTGCAAGGTTCCCATCAGGGGAGAAGTAGCAAGGGGCAGGACACAGGTGGACATGGGGGGTGGGGCAAGTGGCAGGATGAGGGCCATAAGGATTGGGTGGGAGGCCCAGAGCTGCGCTCCTGGATGGAGGTGGGAGGGCAAAAGACAGTGAAACAGGCAGACCCAGGTGGCCCTGTCTCTGCGCTTCCTCCAAACGTTGGCCTTCTGGGTGGTGGGCAATTAAGCAATATGGTCCTAAAGCTCATCAAAGGTCAAGGCTGTGAGGCCTGAGTGCTGGGCGGTGGGCAGTGGGGAGGGGGCAAGGTGACACAGGTGGTGGCAGAGGGGGTTCCGGTGTTTCCCTATGACCTAGGGCAGGGGTGGGAGGGCATGCAACAAACCAGTTGGTGGGCACACTTGGATGGTATTGGCCGAGCTGCAGGCAAAAGCCTGGGGCAGAGGTTGGGGCAGGCGCAGGCGGCAGCTAGGAGGGGTAGCTCACCTGGGAGTGTGGGCAGGCTGCAGGTGAGAGAGCTGCTCCTGCTGTCGGGGCCGAAGCGCTCCTCCAGCTTGCTCTGCAGGGCGTAGAACTGGCGGTAGCGGCGGTAGATGAGGTACTTGCAGCCCCCTTTGGTCTTTACCTCAATGACGAAAACCTGGGGAGGGCCAGGTGGGGGTGGGGACTCAGAAGTGGGGGGTGGGGAGGACCTCAGACACCTGAAGCAGGTTCAGATCTTGAAGCGGGGAAAGCAGGTGGGGACCACATAATTCAGAGCTGGTTGTGGACAGGTGGACATGCCCCGGGGCACCAGGGTGTGGTGAGTGGCAGTCCTGGGTGCCCAGCCCAGCCCTCTGCGAGGGACAGCAGCTGCCCTGTCCTCAGAGGGGTGGAATCAGCTCTGTTAGACCCACTGCAATGGGAGGTGAGAGAGCTGGATGCTCAGAGGTCAGAGGATGGCAGTTCAGACGTGAGAGGCGAAGGTTCGGAAATGGAAGCTTCCCTTACAAAGTGGCTAGTGAAGCCTCTCTTCTCCTCGATGTCAGCGATGTTGGCAGAGACAGCGACATCATCTGGAAGTTGCTCGAAGTCACTGCAGGAGGCCCAGGACAAATCCCAGTCACGGCCTTGGTGTGTGCCAGGGCCACCGGGTGTGGGCAGTGGGCACCCAGCGTCCCTCCTCACACCCCATCTGTTGCCAGGCCTGGCTGCTGGCACCATGGGGTGGACATGAGAAGGTACACAGTGGACCTTGTTGGGGGCAGGACCTGAATGTGGGGTGACACTTCAGCAGGTGCTTGACGAGAAATGAGGCATTAACAACAATTCTGCTAAGAGCCTGCTCTACGCTGGGTCTCAGGGGTTGACCAAGTCCCCACCTGCCATGGTCTAAATGCTAGGTGGAATCCCCAGACCGGACGGGGCTGACTGTGCCCAGGTGGAGGACAGCCTCTGAAAGGAATGACCGTGAGCCAGGGCTGGAAGGTGGCTTTGCAGGAGATAGGGGCAGGGCAGGCAGTGAGGACAGCAGACAGGAGACCCCAGGACTGGGCCCAGGTCCCCTGAGGCAGGTGCCTGGTGTGGTCTGAGGGGTAGCTACTGGGAAGGGATGGGAGGATAGAGGCTGCCATGGCCAAGCATCGCAGAGTCTGTGGGGACCACTGTCCATATATGCGACCTCCAGGTGACCTGAGTGTCTAGCTACAGAACCAAGAAGGCTGCTGCTGGGAACAGGGGAGCTCAGCCAGCAGCAGGCAGCGAACAAATGCCAGGATGTCTATATGCTGCTGGCAGCTTCCCCACCACTTTGTACAACCCCTTCTTGCCCTGAGGCTGTTCCTGTCTTGGGTAATCCTGTGAGGCCGGGGCAGAAAGGAGCCAGAGGGTGTGAGTGGCCCCTAAGCAGGTTGGGTCACAGCACCCAGAGCTGACCATGTGCTGGGTGCAAGCTGGGTGCCCTGTGTGCATTCCCCATTCCCAACAGCATCTCCTCTGTCAGATGAGGCACCCACGGTGCTGAGAAGCCAGCTGACTGGGAGAGCTGGGACTTGGCTCCAGACACACTTCCTGCATGACCTTAGGGGTCCCAGCCCCCGTGCGGTCTCCTTTCCCATCAGAACTCACAAAGGTTTCCTCATATCCTCATGCAGTCCCGACTGCAGGCCGGGCGCTGCTCCAAGCATGTGAACATTTGTGGGATCCTGCCTTGTGCGATCTCACAGCTCCAAGGAGAAGTGAAGGAGACAGACATCACGCCCACCAGTCCCGTAACAGGAGTGGCCATTGCCTTGCAAGGAAAGCACAAAATGCAGCAGAGATGCTGGGGGATGTTTCACAATGTCACCAACGGGGTGGTCAGAGAGGACTTCCTGGAAGAGGAAGCCCCAGTGTCAATGGGGAAACAGAAAGTGCAAGAGCTTGTGGTCAAGCGTGAGGAGCAAGTTTGAGGAACTGAGTGGGGCCGCTACATGGGCCATGACTCAGAGAAGCAACACTTAAACAGGATTCAGGCTGTTCCACAGTGGGACGGACCGGGCCAACTCCCCTGGCATATGTGTGCCTTCCAGAGGAACCTCTGCCATCCCCTGCAGTGTCAGCAGCTGAGGCAGGGGTGATGCAGGTGGACACAGGGGCCCTGAAGTTGCCATCTGCCAGTCCAATGAGGAGGGCTGAAGTGTCCTCCAAGGCTCTGAGAGGCTAGGGTCTCTTGGGAAGCAAACAAGGCAGGCGCACACACACACACACACACACACACACACACACACACACACACACACACACACACACACACACGCATGCATGTGCACAAGTGCAGCAGGAGCAGCAAACAGAGCCAGGCCCCACTAGGGGCTCAGCAAGCCTCAAGAGGACTTTGTATGCTACTGGCTGGTTGGTGGGGAGTGTGTGAAAGACACTGCTGCATGGGTGCCCCTGGTGAAGCTGTGCCCTCACAGACCCTGCCCAGGCCCTGGGGTGGGGCTCTGGGTGTATGGGCTGCAGTATATGGAAGCAGCAGGCTGTGGAACCTGGCCTGGGGGGTGGCCAAGGGTGGGGAGGCAATCAAGGTGTTTCTGGCTTTGGAGCACCTGTTACTCAGCAGGTCCTCAGAATATGTCTACTGGAACAGAACGCATGGAGTCCGCAGCTGCCCTGGCCTTCTTTGGCCTCCTGGTCCCAGGTTCAGGGGTCTGCTGTGTGCAATGCACCCTCTCCCTAGGCTGCCTCCCCCTCCCCCACCTGGGGTCAGCTGTCTGAAGAGGCACTGGAGGGGCAAGGGGGCCCCCTAGCCCCAGGATATGGCTCCAACGCCCCATGAGGGACACAGGTGCTGGAGGAAGGGTGGGAGACAAAGAGGGGAGGCCTTCTCAGTGCTGCTGGTTCCAGGGCTGTAGGCAGCCTTGCCAACCATGCACCCTTAGAAGTAGGAAGTGGCCCTGGGGCCTCAAACAGCTATTGTTTCTGCAAGGCAGGGGTTTGCAAGTTACAGTGTCAGGACCCTCTTGTGAGACAACTTGGGGAGCAGAGGCTCTGGAACCTGACAGGTGACATCACCCACTCCCCGCACCCCCAAACTCAGGGCCACTCTCAGCCTCCTGGAGGCCTTGGCTGCTGCTCCCAGGTACTGGCCTAGCCTCTAGGCTGGGCCATAGGCTGCAGACCCCCAGCTTCCCCGCCCTGCTGTGGAATCCAACCATGCACCCTCCTGTCGCCACCTGGGCCCAAGCCAGCCTACAGACGCTGTTCTAAGCAGCCTCCATGGGCTCAGGCCATCTGCCATCACCTGGCACTGCAGGCCAAAGTGCAGAGGCCAAGTTCTGTGTCCCCAAGGCAGTTGGAAACGCAGGCCTGACTACCAAGGAAGCATCCAGAAAACACAGGCTGTGGGGCAGGGCCAGGTCCCAGCCAAGCTGCCCTCCAAGCCCCTGCCTTGCCTCTCACTCTATATGACATGAAGGAAATCCTTTATCTTCCCAGGGCCTCTGTTTTGCCATCTCCAGCTCACAGATGCAACCATTTGTCAGTTTACACAACAGTATTTGTTGAGCATTTAGTTTGACACGGCAAAACAAACCAGAAACTCTTGCCTCTAGTGCAGGAGCTGATAATGAAGAAGGAGGAGGAGAAAGAATAAATGAATATGCAATGCTCTGCCTTTGATAACAGAAGGATGCACAAAGGGGCTGTCTTGGCAGGCTTCCTGGAGGAGGTGACGTTTAGCCAAGCTCTGAAGAAAGGGAAGTATCTCAGTTCTCTCTGATTCTGCTTGACGGGGCCACTGTGCGAGACTAAAAGCCCAGCCTGGAGCCCAGGACGGTAGCTGTGTTCCCTCTGAACGTCGCTGCCCACGCATTGTGTGACCCCGGGCAGGCCACACCTCATTCAGAGCCCCAGCATTTCTTCCTGGTGTCAAAGAGGGGGCGGTGTGGCCCACCCATCGACAGTTCCTCAAAGCAGTTCCAAGAGGCTGCCTTTCTGAGTACTCGGGCTCTGGCCCAAGCCTCACCACTCTCACCGTTCAGGTCTGCAGAAGGGCCCAGACCTCTACTCCGCCCTCCCCCAGCCCCGCAAGCCCCCAGCCCCAAGGGCAGCCAGACCCAGGGAAGGGGGCCCATACTCACCTCTCAGCCCGCAGCTGCTGCGCCTTGGCCATGGCCATCGCTGCTGCTCAGAGGAGAGCAGGTGGCGCTCGTGCCAGACGGGCCGGGGGCAGAGTTCACCTCTCACTTCCTCTGGCCACCTGCTTCCCAGTCTCAGGCTGTGGTCTGGGAGTCCCCAGGGGCCACTTTGGGGAGGACACACCCCTGCCTCTCTGGCTGGCGGAGGAGGCTCCTCCTCCACTCTCTGGGTCCATACTTCCTCCTGCCATCCCCCACCCCACAGCACGCTAGCAGCATGCCTTTGGGGAAGCGTCTGTGCTCAGGCGTCAGGCTGCTATTGGAGTTCGTTGACTTGGGGCCGGGGTTTCTCGATGCCAAGTCCATGCCATTGGCTCCCAGAGAAGGCTCAGCCATGAGGAACCTCTGGATCTTGGGGCCCTCACAGAGCCCTGTCGTTGCTCCACAGAGCACTGGGCAGTGTCAGAACGGTTCGTCCGTGTGTGTGCTTCTCTGAGGTCCCAACTCCACATGCAGCAGGTGCTCAGCCCGTATTCTTCAACAAGGGAGATGCTTCCATGGCTTCTGCTACCGGGCACGACCATGTGACTCCAGTGGGAGTTTCCCTTCGTCCCCAGAAAGAACTCCACGGGGCAGGGAGGCCCGACTGGCCACACGTGTTCTCACACTCAGTGCATGCCTTTGCTTGCTCATGTGCTGGGAGGCAGTGTTAAAAAAGCAGCAGGGGGAGGAGAAAGGAGAGGGAGTGACCATGTCACTGTGTCCAGTAGTGCATCTTCCTCCTAGTCAGGCCCTTTCTCCCTGTCCCCTAAATCCTCCCTGCCAGGCTGTGACAGGTGGATTCTGGGGACAAAGTCAGGCTGGCGAACTTGTCCCATTCTAGCTCTCTAACTTGCTAGACCTGGCAGTCCACAAGACCTGCCTCCAGTCTTATCCCTGCTGCCCACAGTCACCCCAAGGGACCTGCAGTCACCCCGAGGGACCCGAGGTTCTGAGAAATCAGCACCCCTAGCACATGGCAAATCTCCCCCTCCCCTGCCCCAGGGCCCAGCCCCATAGCCTTAAGACCAGAGTGACTCCTTGGAGAACAAAGCTGGGGAAATGAAAAAAAGGCAGGGAAGGATGCTCGGTCCACAAGGACTTGAGAGCATAGTCTGGACCACAGAGCTAAGGTGGCAGGGGAGAGAGGGGTGCCACTCCAAGCTTATAAAGCAGGTGGAAGCTGCGAGGGTAAGTACATGAGACACAGAAGCATCAAGCAAGAGGCAGTGCAGCTGACAGCTTCTAAGAGAGAGGGGCTGGTGGCCACAGCCCAGGGGAAAATGAAGGATGGAGAGGGGATGCCAGGGTGGTGACTGGAAGTGGAGAGCTGTGGATGACAGGAAGTTGGCCTCAGCTCCCTCTGGGCAGATCTGGGAGTTGGTCAGAGTTGATTATGCAAATTGAGTTTCACCATTGTCATTCCAGGATCATGGTGGGAGTTTAGGGGCTTTCCCAGGCCTGCAGGGGAACAGGGGACCCAGGCACCAGGTCAAAAAGCTTAGGTCCGGCCAGAAACCATGTGAGGGGTGCAGCACTCCCACACTGACACCTCCACATGGGCCACGGGGAGTCGCCGAGCCTGTAGGGGCCACCCCATGAGCTCCCAAAGCAAAATCATCATTACAGGTGACATCACAGAGACTGCTGGGAAAGCCAGCCGCAGGTGCACAGATGTTGACCAATTCACACCCGAAGAGCCAGAAGTGACAAGGATGCCACGACTCCAGGGATTGTCTTACCCATCCTCCAGGCCGGGCTCCATGGTGTCTGGGGCTTCCTGGAGAACAGGTCTCAGCCTTGGGCCTGAAGCAAGTTTCCCTGGGAGCAAGTGCAAACCAGGAAGCAGGCAGCTGCTATAGAAGCAGCAGCAGCAGCCAGGCACGGGCAGCCAGGCCAGGAATTCTGTGGACACTGCTGGAGGAAGAGAGGCATGGCTTAGAATCACTCTGGAAAGAGAGCAGCTGATAGCACCATCTGCGCGAGAAGTGGACGGTTGCAGCCATGCCATGTGGTCCTGCAAGTGGGGTGTGCGTGGCTGCAAACCCGCACTGTGTAACAGGCGCATGTGGCTGTGTACAGGGAGGCGTGAACGTGTCTGTGGGATACAGCCCGTACCACAGTGATGTCAGGATGCCTGTCACCTGCACTTGGATGACTTGCACATCCTTCTTGCTTCTTTCTGCTCTCATCGGTAAAACAGGTTTCCTCTTGGTGTCATGGTGGTGAGAAATGGAGGACAAGTGCCTGGCACATAAGGTCTTCTTCCTGCTCTGTTCTCAGCATGTGCAAATTCACGCGTGTGTGTGTGTGTGTGTGTGTGTGTGTGTGTGTGTGTGTGTGTTTCAGTAGGACAAGCCCTCAGGCTTCCCTTAGCAGGTGTCTCCAGGTCTCTATAAGATCCTTCCCCACCTCAACACGCGACCCTGGGCAGCCCCCTCTGCAGCCAGAGGTGG